TTTCTGCATCCCCACGCTGCGCGGCAGCCCCAGGCACTTTTCCGCAGAGGCCGCCAAGACGGCCTCCGGGAACCCCCACGACGGCCCGAGAGTCCCCCAACAGGACTCCCGAGAGCACCTCCAGAAGCAAAAATGGCCCCATGTCCTGTGGAAAACATAAATTTGTACGATGTTCACCGATTCGGCGTCGACCGCGTGGAAGACGGCCCCAGGAGCCGACAAGAACGCCCCAAAACGGCCAAAGAGAGTTCCAAGAGGCCTCCAAGACAGCTTAAGAGGGGCCCTCGACTGTCCAGGAGGCCCCCAAAGACTGTCCCAAAAGGCCCCGGGGGGCCTGTGGGGTCCCCCCGAGACAGACCGACACAGCCCCGAAACGCCACCCGAGAGTCCCAGGAGGTCCCCAAACGTCCACGAGGGCCCAGAATCCCCAAATTGTCGCTCCAACACGCCGGCGATGGCTCCAAGACGGCCTCCGGGAGCCCCCACGACGGCCCAAGAGTCCCCCAAGAAGACTCCCAAGAGCGCCTCCAGAAGCAAACATGGCCCCATTCCCTCCGGAAAACGTGAATTTTTACGACATTCACCGCTTCGGCGTCGACCGCGTCGAAGACGGCCCCAGGAGCCAACCAGATCGCCCCAAGACGGCCAAAGAGAGTTCCAAGAGGCCTCCAAGACGGCTCAAGAGCCCCCCGACTGTCCAGGGGGCCCCCAAGACGGTCCCAGAGGGCCCCGGGACAGTTTCCCCACACAGCCCCGAGGGGTACCCCACCCGACATTTCGAGCTATCCCCCCCAAGCGCCCCAGAGACCCCAAGAAACCTTCAAGAGCCCCCGAAACAAAAACCCAAACGGGCCCCACGGGGCCGCCAGGAGGCCCCAAGAGGCTCCCAAGAGCCCCCTCCCCAGACGCCCTGAGGTGCTCTGGCCGATCACGAAGCTTCTGGACAACTCTCGGCAACGCCCCCAACGGGCCCCGGGACCGTCAAACATTTAGGACGAAACTCCAGGCCGATGGAAATTGTCCAGACTTCGGGGCCACTCCAGGGGTCGTCGACGTCGTCGTCGTCGTCGCGCGGCCCACCCGCGACCCAAACCACGTTCAGTGTACAAACCAATGTTTTGGGCGCCTGTGGCAGGCTGATTCTGCATTCCTTCCAGGTGGAGGTGGAGAGCCCGCGACCCACCCGCGACCTGTACAACGTTCACTGAACAAACCAATGCCGCACAAGCGCGGCGGCGGATTTTTGCATGCCGTCTGAGCCCGCAAGGAAGCGCCTTCGGCGTGGACCGTTTATTGGTGGTAAAAACTTATTCTGGGGTACGGATTGCACCTGGCAACTCGCTGGCGGATTTCTGAAAAATGGCCGTTTCGCTCGAGACCGCGACGGCCCAAGAGACTCTCAAGAGGCGCCCAAGACGGCCGAAGAGGGCGCCAAGACGGCCCAAGAGGCTCCCAAGAAGGCCCACGAGGGCCCCAAGAGGGTGAGCCCGAATCGAAAATCGGAGCATCCCGCCCAAAGACGGCCCTAGGAGGCCCCATGAGGCGCCCAAGAGGTCCCAAGAGGCCCCCGAGAGGCCCCCAAGACGCAGGCCCAAAAGAGGCCCCAAGAGGACCTGAAACGGCCCGCGAGAAGCCTCCTAAGAGAGCCCAACGAACTTTCACTTCGTCTCATTCTCAATACCCCGGCACGGTGGCGGGATGAATCGAGGGTCACTAGATTTCCATCTCTTTATCGCGAAATCGGGTTACACAGCCCCAAGACAGCTCAAGAGGGCCCGAAAACGGCGCCAGAGGGATCCAAGAGGGCTTCATGTTACAGGCCTCTTGGACCGTCTTGGGGTTATCGCCGGTCGTATTCAAAATATAATGGGCCGTCTTGGAACATCTTGGAGTGGCCAGAGACGGCCGGAGGCATCCTGGGCATTCCTGGGAGGGGTGAGGGATCTAGTCCGTTTAACCAGATCCCCCCCCTGCAAGCCAGCCGGACCGAACCCCAAGGGGACGGCGGATAGCTCGGGATCTTGAAGGTGGACGCGGGGGCCGCGTGGTAACTGACCGCTTGCGCACAATCCAAGTAATAGCGGCTCCAGGGCGTGAATCTGGCTGCACTTCTGTGGGTCCTGGTCGCCGAGGCATGAACCCAGAGTACTTTGCAATGGGTCGTGGCCTCGGAGGCGCGTATCGCGTGTACTTTACGAGGGATCTGCGCCTCGGGAGCGCGAGCGTCGTATATTTTCGAGGGATCCTTGACTCGGGCACCGCGCAGTCCCCTCCTGTTCGCACAAGCGTTCCAGTTTTGACGTCCCCATGTGATGCCACACCTGCAACGAACGTTCGACCATTCGCTTCCCGTTCTTGTCAGGTCAGGTTTCTGAAAAATGGCCGTTTCGCTCGAGACATCCTCCAAAAATCGGCCCAAGAGGGGACTCCGCATCGACGTCGTGTTCGAATCGCTCTTGGAGGGCTTTCCAGCCCAAAAGACGCCCCGGAGAGCTCCAGGAGCGCCCAAGAGCGCCCCAAGAAGACCCCAAGAGACCCCCAAGAGCGCTCTAGGAGCCACCCAGACAGCTCACAAGAACCCCGAGACGGCTCGAGAAGGCCCAAGAAGGCCCCAACAGACTCACGGGAGCGCCCCAGGAGGCCGCCAGCGCCGAGACGGCCTAAGAAAGCTCCCACAGAACCCCACGACGCGCCCAGACAGCCCAAGAAGCCCCAGAAGCCCATAAGAGGACCCAAGGGGCCCCCAAGGAGCCCCCAACAGGCCCCAAGAGAACTCCGCGCGGCGCCAGGAGCAACGTCTTTTTCCAATTGCCTCGTACTGTCCTCTGTCGTCGTCGTCGGCGTCGTCGTCGTCGTCGTCGTCGTCGTCGTCGTCGTCGTCGTCGTCATCATCGCCCTCCGCATTCCTCCTCGTACTCGCCCTCGTTCTCTCCGTCCTCGTCCTTGTGCTTCTCTCCCTCCTCGTTGTCCTCATGCTCCTCCTCGCTATCCTCACGTTCGCCACGTCGTCCTCGTCATCGACTCCTCGTTGTCCTCGCCTTCCTTTTCTTCTTCGCCCAATACGCCCATTAGACTACAGCGGCGCTTCCCGTTCTTGTCCGATCAGGTTTTTGCATGCCGTCTGAGCCCGCAAGGACCTCTTCAAGCCCCGCGCATCCACACCAGCCCGTCCAGCAACTTTGCCCTGGCGAGTTGCCTTGATCAGAGATGGCGGGGAGCATAAAGTGGAAAAAAGGATTGCGTTGCAGTTATCTTGGGAAAGGAGGGGGAGTCAGGAGGAGTAAACAGGGGACGACGAGAACGCGGAAAGAAAAGGAGGAGGAGCAGGAGGACGAGGAGGGGGAGGAGGGGGAGGAGGAGGAGGAGGAGGAGGACGAGGAGGGGGAGGAGGGGGAGGATGATGATGATGGACGACAATGGGAGGACGATGATGGAGGCCGATGAGGGGGAGGACGACAATGGGAGGACGATGATGAAAGGACGAGGGGGGAGAGGGAGGACGAGGAAGAAGAGGAGGAGGAGGAGGACGAGGTGGAGGAGGAGGATGACGATGACGATGAGGAGGAGGAGGAGGAGGACGAGGAGGAGGAGGAGGAGGAGGAGAGCGCCATCGACAGGGAAGGTGGGGCCACGAGGTCCGCCGGCTCGACGACGCCCGCGTCGCCCGCGCCCGCCCCCTCACTCTTATCCGCAATTGCGGGGTGCTACGTAGGTGGTGCGATCTACGTTGTGCAATTCGGGCGGCGACGGGGTGGCGACGTCGACAACATGGCCGCCAGACTGGCAATCAGGCCCAAACGACGGGCGGCGACGAGGCGGCGACGGGGCAGCGACGGCGACAACATGGCCGCCAGACTGGCAATCAGGCCCAGACGACGGGCGGCGACGAGGTGGCGACGGGGCGGCGGCGGCGACAACATGGCCGCCAGAGCGACAATCAGGCCCAGACGACTGGCGGCGTCAAGGTGCCAGACCGACAGTCAGGCCCAGACGACGGGCGGCGACGAGGCGGAGACGGGGCGGCGACGGCGACAGCATAGCCGCCAGACCGACATTCAGGCTTAGTTCCTTGGAAAAAGTCAGAATCCCTAAGTGCAAGCTTGTTTGGTGGAAAAAATCAAGGCGATAGGAAGGACAGGCGCAGGGTGGTAAGCGACAGTCCCCTGACAGGGCCCGATCGATCTGATTCTATGTCGATCCCGACCTGGCTGGTCCGATTCGATTCCAGTGTTCAAACGGTCCGTTGTGGTTCGATGGTTGCTTGGCGACATTGTGCATCCTGGCCCAGCCGATCCGATTTTATTCCAGTTCGGTGCCGATTCAGTGCGATTCCATTCGTGTTCCGATCCGACCCGACTTCGCGATGTTCGAGGTTGGCTGCTCCTGCCAGGTCGCCCGCTCGTCGCCGACAGAGGCGTGGAAGCGCCACTGTGCCGAGGAGCATGATGTGTTGCACTCGGGGCATCGACGATGCAACTTCGAATCCAGGTCGATGCGTCGACGTGCAGGCCCCACCGTGCCTAGGTGATGCGTCGACGATGCGTCTTCAAATCCAGGTCGATGTCTATCCCCCTCTTCCTCTCTCTCTCTCTCTCTCTCTGTCATTATCCCTCTCTCCCTCTCTCTCTCTCTCTCTCTAGATACATCTATACATATATCTATGTATATATATGTGTGTGTGTGCGTATACACTTGTAACAAAATACCTCTGTCTCTCCTGCCTTTTGCCTCCCGGGCCATATCGGCGATGCGCGCTACCCCTCGCGCGCGAGACAGTGAGGCGGGAGGAGAAGGAAAGAGGGGGACGTGAAGAAGATAGGAAAGAAGATGGAGGAGGAGGAGGAGGAGGAGGAGGAGGAGGAGGAGGAGAAAGAGAGAGAGGAGGAGGAGCAGGAAGAGGAGCAGGAGCAGGAGGGGGAGGCCCCTGAGCCCTCGCCCTTAGAAGAGACAGCGAAGGCCGCTCGCCTGCGCCAGGGCCTGCTTCTGCTGCCGCCGGCCAGGCCGACCAGCTGGTGGTGGAGCTCGCGAAGCTTGGCATGGACAGGCGGGCCCTCAAGTCTCTGGTGGAGCCGATCGAGGTCGTGGACGTGGCGGTGCAGTCGGGAGTGGAAGTGGCTGGCTCACTCGACCCCATCTTCAGGTGGTTGAAGCTGAATCTGCTTCAGCGCCAGAACGCCTGGCTGTACTGCCTCCCCTCGGAGGTGTCCGCCCTCGAGGGCTTCCCGAACATCCCCGGGGCCCGCCTGGAAAAGCTGCTCGTGGACTTCGAGCGCTTCCTGGAGGAGATCTTGAGCCGACCACTCCCAGCCAAGTCCGCGGCGCGCAGCGCCCTGAGAGCGCGGTACAGGGCCCGCAGCGACTCGCCCTGCTCGCGCCGAAATCGCTCTGGCAGCCCGCCGCCTGGCAGGGGGTCGCTGCTTGGCGGCAGGGAGAGCTGGAGGAGGAGCAACGCGGTGGAGCCCTACGAGTACCCAGTGGGGTTCTTGTCGTCGGGCTTCGACGGGGAGCAGGAGGTAGCGAATATGGTTCTGGTTCCAGGCGAGCGCTTCATTTTTCTACACACGTACTAAATAACAATCATTTCATTCAATGCATGTCCTCTTACAGATCTGTAGATGTATAAATACACATACATATGTATGAGTATGTGTGCGCATGCATGACCATGTATGCACATAAACCACATGTGTTTATATACACGTATAAATAAATGCATGTCTACACATATGTGCGCATGCATGCATGGACACCAGCACACACACACACAGCTGTCCTCGGAAAACTCCGCCACCGTGCAAGCGCAGGACGCTCTGTGGCGACGCTCAGAAGGTTGTAACATGTGGCACCTGTCGTTTCTTTTCCTTTGGGAGGAGACATACCTGGGCCGCCTTGCGGCTGCTTTGGGATTATGTGGGGCCGTCTTGACGCCCTCTTGGGACCCCCTTGGGCCGTCTTCGAGCCCTTTTGGTACCGTCTTGGGCCATACTGGGCCCTTTTCGGCCGTTTCGGGAATCTCTAGGGGCTGTCCTGGGGGCCTCTTGGGGCCCTCTCACATTTTATTGGGGCTTCCCTCAGCTGTCTGGAAGAGGGGAAAGAGGAGGAGCAGGAGCAGGAGCAGGAGCAGGAGAGAGGAGGGGGCGCAGGAGGAGAAGAGAGAAAAGGGAGGAGGAGGAGGAGGAGGAGGAGAAAAAGGGAGGAGAAGGAGGAGGGGAAAGGATACAGGAGGCGATGGGAGGAAGAAGAGGAGGGGCAGGAATAATGAGGAATAGCATACCATACAACAGCATAGCACGAGATAGCATGGTGAATCATATGAACAGGGAACACACAACATACACGCAGCACAGCGTAATGTATGAAAGTGCACCATCGTGTGACACAACACGCGTATGGAAGACATGTCAAAATCGCAGTCTCTTCAGGTTCCTTGCCTGGTTTGTGGGTCCCTAATGGGTGCTGCATTCATCGTCCTACATGGGGCCGTTCTTCGCCACAGCCGGGCGCAGCCCATAAAATTGGGCGGATTCTGGAAGCGAGTTAGAGAGAAGGAGGTAGCAGGTGGGGAGGGAGGGAGGGAGGGAGGGAGGGAGGAGGGGCGAAGGAGGAGGAGGTGGGACTTAATAGGGAAGAGGGAGGAGCAAGATGGATGAGGGAGGAAAGAGGCAGGAGGAGGGACAGGAAGGAGGAACAAGGGAGGATGAAGGAGGGATGAGGGACCATCGGGAGAGGCCAGTTGGCTTCAGATTGCCTGCTGGTCCCTGGTCTGCAAAATGCCTGTCTGCCAATTGCCGGGCTGCCAAGTACTTCCTGCTTCTACGGGCCGCCAAGTATCAGGAGGGAAAGAAACACACAGACACACTTAATCGACGATCCCCAGGAAAATATGCGAAAATATGGGAAGTGGGGAGGAAGACAAAACCCAGAAAATATGGGAAAATATGGGGCATCTTTTTATTTGTGTATTTTTTGTGTGTCCTGGGGCCCCTTGAAAGTACCAGGTGGATCTGGGGAGATGAGGGGTGTCGGGCGGGTGGTAGTGGGAGGACCCTTGAAGCGGGGGTGCAGAAAAGGGTTTTTCAGGGCCCTTCTCTTCACCCCCCAGTTGGGTCCCCCCCCCATTACCGCCCGCCCAAGGGTGGTAATGGGGTGAACCCCTTTCCCAGCAGGCCGTGAGGGATATCCGCCAGCAGCCTCCGCTTCACCCTCCCTGTTCCTGCTGGCCCGCTCCGCTGCCCACCCTTTCCCCTGGCACCTTCCCTGCCGCGATATGCTGCCTCTCTTTCTCTTTCACACACAGTCCTATCTCTCTCTCTCCCTCTCGTTCTCTTTCTCTCTCGCTCTCCCTCTCTCTCTGTCTCTCTCTCTCTCTCTGTCTCTCTCTCTCTCTCTCTTTCTCTCTCTCTCTCTCTCTCTCTCTCTCTCTACATATACATATATATAGATCCCTGTATCCCCCTCTCTCTCTCACTCTCTCTATAAATAGATCGTTATCTCGTTTTCTCTCTCTCTGTCTCTCTCCTCTATCTCTCTGTGTTTCTATATCTCTCTCTCGCTCTCTCTCTCTCTCTCTCTTTCTTTGTTTCTCTCTCTCGCTCTCTCTATGTGTATATATATATATGTATACCTGTCGGTTTCTCACTTGTTATCTCTCTATGTACACATAAACCACATATATATATCTATATATCGCTATCTCTCTCTCTCTCTCTCGTTACCTCTCCTCGCTCTCTCTCTCTCTATCTATCTATCATTATCTCTCTCTCTCTCTCGTTATTGTTTTCTCTCTCTCTCTCTCCTTCTCGCCTTCTCTTTTTCTCTCTCTCTCTCTCTCTCTCTCTCTCTCTCTCTCTCTCTCTCTCATATATTCTCTCTTTCTCTCTCTCTCTCTCTCTCTCTCTCTCGTCTCTTTCTCTCTCTCTCCCTCTCTCTCTCTCTCTCTCTCTCTCTCTCTCTTCTGACCCTCCCCTGCCCCTTCCCTCCCTGCCCCCATCCCTTCCCCCCGCCTCCACTCCACTGCCACTCCTCTGGCTCAATCTCTCTCTCGCTCTCTCTGTGTCTCCACGTGTCTCGGAGTGTATCTTACTTTTCCTATGTGTATAAACGTATTTACATGTATGTATGTGTATGTATGTGTGTATGCACGTACGTACGTACGAATGGATGTGTGTATGTATTTGTGTATGGATGTGATGGAATGGAATGGAATGCATGCATGTATGTGTACTTGTATGTACGTGCGGATGTATGTGTATGGATGTATGTGTATGTATGTATGTGTGTATGTATGTATGTGTATATAATGTGTGTACGCATGTATGTTTGTTTGTTCGTATGTATGTGTGTATGAATGCATGTATGCATGTGTAAAATGTCATAAATGCACAGCAAAGCATATGTGTGCGTGTGGTTGTGCAATGCTGTGTGTGTGCAGGTGTGCATGTATGTATGTGCGTATGTATGCGTATGTATGAGGATGTGCGTATGTATGGTTTGATAGACAGGCAGGCGGGCAGGCAGGTAGGCAGGTATGTATGTGTGTATGTATGTGCGTATGTGTGGTGTATGTAAGTAGTTATGCATATGTGTGTATACGCACATGTAGATGTGTGTATAAAGTGTGCATAAATGTATACGTATGCACGGATGGATATGTCTATATGAACGGATGCGCATCCGTATACGTAAATACAAATGTATATGCACCAGTATACGCATAGGCATATGTATATGTATATTACCCTCGGGTGTGCTTAATTGGTTCATAGACGTAAACCTGTCGCAACTTTATGTACACAAACATGTACCAGCATGTGTACCTATATAGTATGTTCACATGTGTACATATGAATATGCGTGTACACATCATGCATATGCACAACTGTCTGTGTGCGCACGTATGTGTATGTGTGTTTATGTGTGTGTGGCTGTGTGTGCGTGTGGGTTGTGTTTGTGTGAGCGTCGGTGAGGGTGTGTATGCGTGTGCGTGTTTGTGTGTGTGTGTGTCCCACCTCGCCATTGTCCCCTCCGCTCCTTCCCCGTTGTCCTCATGCCCCTCTCCCCCCCTTTGCCCCCCTCCGTCTTCATATCCGAGTATTTCCCCTGCCCACCCCTATCCCACATCATTTGGGGAAGAGAAAAGGTATAAGCATACACGTTCGGCGGTCCGCGCAGATTTCTTGGATCTGCGCTGGACCCCATGGCCGTGCCTCCAGCGCCCTCCCTGGCGCTCTCCACGCGCCATGAGTGGGGAGGGGCCAGCGCAGATCCGAGAAATGCGCGCGGACCGTCGAAAGTACATGCTTCTGCAGTTGCTTATTCTTCTTATTAGTATTCTTCTTTTTAGTATTATTATGTCTTATTATTATTAGTATTACTATAATTATTATGATTATTCCTCTTTTTCTGTTCATCGCCTCCTCTCGCTCCCCCCCGTGCCCCGCCTCTCCCCATACACGCCATCCCCTCCCAAGCGCTCCCGACCTCGCCTTCGACCTCCGTCCACGCCCCCGACCTCAACCCCCACGTCTTCGTTTGCTCTTTCTCCCGTCCAGCCCCCACTTGCCTTACCGCCCCACCATCATCCTTTCACCCTCCCGCCCTCCTCGGAGACGGGGAGTAGGAGGAGGAGAGGGAAGAAGTGGAGGGAACAGGAAGAGCAAGAGGCACGATGAGGAGGACGACGACGACGACGACGACGACGGCGACGGCGACGATGACGGCGGCGGCGGCGGCGGTGGCGACGACGGCGACGGCGGCGGCGGCGACGATGACGATGACGACGACGGCGACGGCGACGGCGACGGCTACGGCGATGGTGACGGCGACGACGACGACGACGACAACGACGACGAGAAGTAGAAGAAGGACCTGCCTGATGACTGGCGCAAAACAAACGGTCCCACAGTGGCGCTTGTTGGGACCCCCGAGTGCTCCCGAGAGCCTCTGCGGTTTGTGTCGGATCATCAGCCTTTAGTGGACGGGTGGGCCAGAGGTCGGCACAAGTCAGTTTCGCTCAGGATCGGGAGGGCTGCGCACGAGCGGGGCCCCGACCCCATCCAAGTGTGTTGGACCCCCTCCCACCTCGAGGCCCCGGACATCAGGTCCGAGAGGGAACTCATCTGGGCGGCGGGTAATGGGTGTGCAGACGAGATGGCCGCCAGAGCGGCGGCCGCAGCGTGGACTGAATTCGTCAGAGATGCCCCCGCCACCGACCAGCGCGACACTGAGGCCTTCCGATTGAGAAGGCGGGCGCGTCGAGCGCTGGCGGACTCTGTCCTCACCGACCCGTGGACCGCGGCCAGTCCTTCGGCCCCTCGCCCCGTTCGGATGCCAAGGCTCGAGCTTGCCCTGCGTGCGTCTCAGCACGATTGGCGACGGGTCGGCTCCAAGTCTGATTGCAGAAGTTGCAAAGCGGCTGTGAGTCGTGAGCGTGTCCTCCTGGCTGCCCAGGCGGTGTGCCCCCGGGCCTGCCCCCAGCTCGGCATTGCTCCCCTCGTCGGTCGGAGTGCGCTGGGGGGCAGGGTATTGCACGGCTCACGTAGCTTACAGCACTGGGGGGCCATGTAGTCTGACTTTCTGTTCCAGGTGCGGTCGTACAGCCACGACCGACCCGAGGCACCTGACTTCAGGGCGTGATCTTCCCTTAGCAAAGGGGAAGCAGAATTTAGCACGCATTCGTATGGGCGAATACCCTCACCCGAATGGGCCGCCGAAGTCGATCCAAGCTGCCGCCCTCGTCGACTTGCAGCGCTACCTCGTTTCGCTCTCGGCATTCGGCGTCGTTTCGCCCATACCTCCACAGCTCCCCCTGCCCTGCTCTGCACCCCAGACCTCTCCAGGGTTGCGCGTTGACGAGAACTTTGAGGCGGACCCAGCCGTGCCGACAACAGGTCCCATAAACGCCCAAACATAGTGCAGAACGTTAAAACCTCGACCCTCTAAGTTCGAGCCTCGGCTTTCCTCCCCAGGCATGCGACGCCTCGACTTGCTCGTTCCATGCGTGGGCCCCCAGACCTGTCGACACGATCCACAGGGCTGGTGTTTCATCTCGATTAGTTCCCCACATCCTGAGTGGGGTTCGTGCTTACTTTGGACACCCCCCGCAGTCCTCTCACGCACACACACACCCTCCCTTCATCATCACAGATCAACATCATCACGATAGTTATCACCATCATCATCACTACCATCATCACACCACCATCGTCATCATCAGTGCCACTATCCCATCAAGATGGTGATCGTCATTCTCGTCATCATCGTTATCCGCATCAGAATATGCATCATCAAATGTACCCGTTCACTCACGCATATGTCGATGTTTCTATCACTCATCAATATCACTCATCATCACCATCCCCAACATCAACACCATTCATCATCATCATCATCATCATCATCATCATCATCATCATCATCAGCATGGTCATCATCATCCTCATCATCATCATCATCGTCACTATCATTGCCACCATCGCACCACCATCGTCAGCACCATCATCATTCTCACCATCCCACCATGGTCGCCGACCATCGCTCGTCACCACCTTCACCACAATCATCATAACCATCCTCAACACCAGCATGATCAGCATTGCACACATTCCTCCACTCACTGCATTTCTCACACACACACACATGTTGAGGACGTTTCGAGTGGGAGCCTCGTCTGTGAGTGAAGAGCGAGGAAGTCTCAGGCGGGAGCCCCCCTCCCATGGGCCCGCAGCTCATGTTAGTCAAGCGAGAGCCTCATCTGTGAGTGACTTGCGAGGAAGTCTCAGGCGGGAGCCCGCTTCCTATGGGGGCCGCAGCTCATGTTAGCAATCCGAGCGAGTCATCCAAAAACTTGTAACCGTCGGCACGTTTGGGCTCCTGAGTGAATTGCGAGTAACTCTCAGGCGGGAGCCCCCCTCCTATGGGGCCCGCAGCTCATGTTAGTAATCCGAGCGGGTCATCCACAAACTTGTAACCGTTGTAAGTTTTTGGCCCCTCAGCCCCGACGATGGAGAAAGTATCAAGCGGGAGCCTCGGCTGTGAGTGAATTGCGAGGAAGTCTCAGGCTGGAGCCCCCTTCCTATGGGGCCCGCAGCTCATGTTAGTAATCCGAGCGGGTCGTCCAAAAAACTAGTAATGTTTGTCACTCTTTGGCCCCTGAGGCCTGAATTTGGGGGAAATATCAACAAGTGGTAGTTCCGTTTGTGAGTGACTTGCGAGAAATCTCAAGCTGGAGCCCCCCCCCTGCGGAATCCGCAGCTCATGTGATTAATCCGAGCGGGTCATCAAAAAACTTGTAATTGTCGTCACGCTCGGGCTCCTGAGGCTTGAATGTGGAGGAAGTGTCGAGCGGGAGCCTCGTCTGGGAGTGGACCGCAGGGGCGTCTCCAGCTCGCGCCAGGACAAGATCGCCCATTTATTGGGAGCTCGATTTTCAGCTGGTTCGTGGGATATCGTGGCCGCGCTTGGAAGCCCGCACCGCCAGTGCCCGCGCTGCAAGAACGCCCTCGCGGCGGCTTGCCGACTAGCTCATACGTGGTTATACACGCACTTCGATGAGGCTGTCGCGCGGGTGCTGTCTTTGGCGTGAGCCCCATGACGAGGGTCTCTTCGTCGCGAGCCGCTTGGCCCAGGTGCTGCTTTTGCGGCCAGCATCGCTCAGGCTTGTATCGGCAAATTTTCGGGAGGGCGTGAGCCTTTGCCGCTTGAGTGGGCTGCTGCGTGCCGCGTTCTTTCCTCCCGCTGGTCGTGTGCCGGCGGAGAAGGACGGGCATTTGGCCCATGCAGCCTCTCCTTCTTGTTCCACAACTTCCACATGGTGCTCTTCGGCCTGGTCTGGGAAGCTTTGGCGGTGCGGCGCACGCGGCCGGTGGTACCATTACCCACTACCGCCTGGCCGTTGGTTGACGTTGAGCTCGGGCCGCTGCAGGTCTTCCCCGCCGAATGGCGGGCGCTTGCAGCAGCGCTAACGCGGCTGCTGCCTCGCTTGCCCGGGAAATCCTCGGGCTGCGTTCTTCGCCTCCGGCGCGCACTCGCTGCTGCTCTGCGGCAACTGCCTTTTCGCGCTGAAGGCCCGGCCGCGGGCCCGATTTGACGCCGACCGCCCTCTCCGCGCAGGCCGCTACGCACAAAAAGTGTGTGGGTGCACGTGTGTGTGTGTGTGTGTGGTGCGTGAGTGTGTTCGGCAAAGTTTAGGCTTAAGTTGCATGTTACTTTCGTACCTCTTCGCTCATGGTGCTTACCGGCCGCTGACCCCAAAAACGTGCGTAGTGTGTGGTGTGTGTGTGTGTGTCTGTCTGCATGTCTGTGTGTGTGTCTGTCTGTTTGTCTATCGGTTTGTCTGTCTGTCTGCGTGTGTGTGTGTGTATGTGTTTGTGTGTGTGTGTCCGTAGTCTTTTTATCAAGCGCTCTAGGCGCAAGCAGTGGCGCACGAGGCTTTTGCTGCGAGCGTCGGCCTCTACTATTCCGCCCCTGCCGCGATGAACTATGTGGCATTCGCATCATTGGCCGTCCTGCTCGCAGGTTATTGCTGCGTCGCCGACGACCAGACCACGACCGCGGAGGAAGCCAACTTCGCCACGAGCGCCGACGACCGGACTACGACCATGCAGGAAACCAATCCCACCTCGAGCACCCACGATCAGATCACGACCATGGAGGAATCCAACCCCACCACGAGCGCCCACTACCAGATCACGACCACGCAGGAGGCCAACCTGACCAAGAGCGCCCACGATCAGATCACGAGCACGGAACAAGCCAACCCCACAACAAACGCCCACGACCAGATCACGACCATGGAGCAAACCAATCCCACTCCGAGCACTGCCATGGCAATCACCACCAGTGGCATTGCCATGGCAATCACCACCCCGAGCGATGCGACGTCGATGAGCGTTGCGACGTCGACCGTCGACGGCGCCGGCGTATTGCCAACACCACCGCCGACGCCAGCAGCACCGCCGGCCCCGACAGCCAACAACAGTCAGTGGTTCATTTTGCAACAGGCCACCGTACGCGTTTCCGTCGACCACACGATGTGTGAGGGTATCGTCCTCGCGGCGCACCCTCAGCTCCCCGCCGAGATCGAGTGCGGAGAAGCTTGCGAAAAATGGACCACTCTCCGCAACTCAGTTGAAGCTGCTGTAATCGCAAAGGTTGTTGACATGACGCTGGACGTCATTGACATTCCGATGTCGTTCATAGCCAGTACCACACATCACGACACGTTCGCAGACTTTGGTGACCGCACAGGTTATGGACTACCTCTTTCAGGTTCAGCATATATATATATATATATATATGTATCCAGTCCATGTGGCTTACGGCAAGTATTGGTGGAGACATCGGCGTGCCCCTTTTCAAGATGATATACTTGCATTCATCCTCTGGCATAGCGGAGGATTTCACCGACGCAAATTGCTTTGATTTCGGTGAAGGCAACCAAGTAATGATCTATATAAAGGACACGCTGGCGGGTGCTTACCTGAATGGTTTCGGATTCGGGCAAATCCTTTGTGGCGCAATGTCCCTCGCTTGCATAATCCATGCCAAGTGCGCATCTGAAGACACAATCTCTCGTACGGCCATGTGGGCAGCAGGCTTAGCAACGTTCTTTTCAATCGGAGCTACTCTTTTCGACATGGTGGATTTCTGGTCAAATACGCTCCCGCTGAGGAACATGGTGCGTTCGATCGAAGGTGCCGCCCTTGGCAGTCGCACGTTCGGCGACGGGACCAGGCCGTTTGTGCAGTGGAACGGGTCCGTCGAGGCCGACGGGGGTGCGAACCTGTGGCTTATAGCCCTATATGTCGTCTTGGCCGTCATTGCGGCGGGCGTATGTCTTGTAGGCTGCCTCTTGTCTTCCGTCTTTGCCTGGTTTAAGCTTTGTCAAACTTTTTACCTTTTCTAGTGGGGTCTCAGGCAGTGGATGTCAGCCATCTTAAGCTTGAGATGCGGTGGCGCTCCCGCGTGGGCTCTCGCCCCTCGGAGGGGTGGCCTGGGCCCCCGGGAGCCCCACGGCTGGGCCCCGGGACGGTGCCAGGGAGCCGCGGCCCGTGCCAGCATGGGGCCGTGCGCCCGCTCGGTCCAGGGCGTCCTGGATCTGGGAGGAGCAGGAGGAGCAGGAGGGGGAGAGGGAGGAGGGGGGGAGGAGGGGGAGGGGGAGGGGGAGGACGAAGATCGAGGGGTTTTGTTTGGAGGTTTCTGCCCCTTTTTGGTGGCTTCCCGGGGCCTCGTGGTCACGGCCGGGCGCGGCTCGAGAAACTGCGCCGGGTGGTGGTCGGGAGAGGCCCGGGGACCGATTTTGAGCTGTATGACATGCGCCACCGCTTTCCACTTGATCACCCGTGGTGCATGTGCAAGCCGGTTGACCTCTATCCGTTTGGGGCTCCCATCTGCCTGACAATATTTTGAATCGAGAGTGGCCTTTGCTGAACTTCCGTGCCTCCGGGGGCGGGGCAGGAGATTGAGTTTTTATTCATGGACAGATAACGCGCGTTATCTGCCCGCCAACCCACCCACCCACCCAGCAGATAACGTAACGCCCTCCGCCCCGCCGACCACCGAGGCCACAGCGCGCGGTGCAAGCGTGCGATTGGTGTGCGCCACAGTGCTTGTGCGCACCGCACTCCCTGTGTGCACCATGGTCCCTGTGTGCACCACAGTACCCATGTGCACCACAGGGCCTGTGTGCACCGCAGTGCTTGTGTGCACCGCAGTGCCTGTGTGCACCACAGTGCCTGCGTGCACCACACTGCCTGTGTGCACAGCTGGTGTGCACCACAGAGCCTGTGTGCACCACGCTGCTTGCGTGCACCACAGTGACGGTGTGCACGACAGTGCGTGTGAGCACCACAGGGCCTGTGTGCACAACAGTGTTGGTGTACAGCGACTGTGTGTGCTTCCGTCTCTCAATTGTTCACGCTTCGCGAATCCCCACCAGCCCATCCTATAACAGCCACTTCAGCAAAGAGTACCGACTGTCGGGATTTGTTGGTCATCTTTTCAGCAATGATGCCCAGAGGAGTTGCTTTGATTCGATCAGGGAAGTGTGGGAGCATACAGAGAAACGAAGGACAGGGGATGCCGCCATATCCCAAGAGGGGAGGATGGAGAAGGAATCGGAGGAGGAGGTGGGGGAGGGGAGGAGGGAGGAGGAAGAGGGGGAGGCGGACGAGGAGGGGAGGACGAGCAGAAGGGCCAGAGGCCTCTTGGATGCATCGCGGAGTCTCTTGGGATGTCTTTTGGGAGCCTCTTGGAGGCCTTTTGGGGCGTCTTGGGGGCCTCTTGGCGGCCCCAGGGGCTTCTAGGAGCGTCTTGGGTGCCTTGGGGGAGCCTCTTCGGGCCTCTTGGGAGCCTCTTGGAGGCCGTTTGGGGCGTCTTGGGGGCCTCTTGGCGGCCCCAGGGGCTTCCAGGAGCGTCTTGGGTGCCTCGGGGGAGCCTCTTGGGGCCTCTTGGGGGCCTCTTGGGGGCATCTTGGGGGCCTCTTGGAGGCCTCTTGGGGCCTCCTGGGCGCTTCCTGGGCCATCTTGGAGGCCATCGATCAAAAAAGAGGGTGGATTTTTTTCTGTCCACCCGTCGGGGCCTTCAAATTTGCCTCTTGAGGCTCTCTTGGGGCGCTCTTGGGCGCTCTTGGGGCCCTCTTGGGGCCCTCTTGGGCCCCTCTTGGGCCCCTCTTGGGCCATCTTGGAGCCATCTTGAGGCCTCAGAAGCCCATCGGAAGCGAAACGGGGAGAGGCCCAAAAACATTGATTTCCTTTTGGTTTTTGAAAGATTTTGGCCTCTCGGGGGCCTCCTTGGGAGGCCTACCACTGGCCCTCAGCGGCTCGCGGGGTTGTACCAACGGCCTCGCCTGCGGGGATGCCCCAACCGCTTCGCGATCCGGCCATCGGAGAACGCGCCCATGCGGCCCGTGGCCGCATCGGCGCCGAGGCAAATCGACTTGCCCTGGCCAGGAGCCAAAGGAGGAGCACAAGAGAGGGAGAATGAGTAGGATGGCGCGGAGGAGGAGGAAAGGGGGAGGAGGAGGAGGAGGAGGAGGAGGAGGAGGAGGAGGAGGAGGAGGAGGAGGAGGAGACGGAGGGCAAAGATGACGAGGAGGAGGAGGAGGAGGAGGCGCAACAGAGAGCTGGAGGCGAGCCTCCGCCAAGGCGAATGAGAAAAAGCGAGGGGCAAGCTAAGTAGATTCTCGTGTGGGGTCTTACCGTCGGAGTATTTTTTCTGACGATCCCGAATAGCGACAATCTGGCCGCCTCGATTGTTTCGAGTCGCCGGATGTCTGAGTCCTCGTCCCCGCTCCGTGGCACCGCTCAGGCAGGCCCAGGATGAGGGCAAATCGATCCAGAGCGTTCTGAAATGCTTTCAGAGCGATCCGGAGCTCTCCGGGACGGCCGCGTCGCCCGATACATCTTCCAGACCCGCCAGTTCTCACAGATTCCCGGTTTACGGTCAAGTTGCCGTATTTGGCGTGCACGTCGAGAAGTGCAAGTGCACGCTATACGGCCAAGTGTATAGAGTGCACGTCGCAGTGAGGTGCACTCTATACGCCGTCGTTCAGCGTTTAGCATGCACTTCCGATTGCTGAAACAAAAACGCTTAGTGTGCGCATCCGAGTCTCAGCGAAAACGTTTAGAGCGCACCTGTGTTTGCAAAATGCCGATCTGGCTCAGCAGTCCGTGGAACCACAGTCGGCCTATCGGCCTCCGCAGGCCCGAGCCACCTCCTCCTCCTCCTCCCCTTGGTCCTTCTCCTCCTCCTCCTCCTCCTCCTCCTCCTCCTCCTCCTCCTCCTGCCTCCTCCTCCTCCTCCTCCTCCTCCTCCTCCTCCTCCTCCTCCTCCTCCATCCTCCTCCTCCTCCTCCTCCTCCTCCTCCTCCTCCTCACTCCTCCTCCTCCTCCTCCTCCTCCTCCTCCTCCTTCCTCCTCCTCCGCCTCCTCCTCCTCCTCCTCCTCCTCCTCCTCGCCCTTCTCCTCCCTCTCCTCCTCCTCCGCCTCCTCCTTCCACTCCCCCTCCTCCTCCTCCTCCTCACCTCCTCCTCCCTCCCTCCTCCTCCTCCTCCTCCGCCTCCTCCTTCCTCCTCCTCCTCCTCCTCCTCCTCCTCCTCCCCCTCCTCCTCCTCCTCCTCCCCCTACTCATCCCCCCCCCCTTCCCCTCCTCCTCCTCCTCCTCCTCCTCCTCCTTCCTCCTCCTCCTCCTCCTCTTCCTCCTCCTCCCCTCCTCCTCCTCCTCCTCCTCCCCTCCTCCTCACTTGAAGAGGGCGCTCCGTGAGTGCCCTGCCCACTCCCAGGGTGCATACCGCTCGGAGCACTGCCGCAAACTTCATCACTGCCTGCGCCATGCCGCGCTAAAGAGAGATCCGCGCGGGCGCGCGGGGGGAAAACCGAGCTTTGAGCCGAAGTGGCTAAGGACCTCCTTCTCCTCATCATCCTCCCACTCCGCGGCCCCGGGCTCCTCCCCCTCTTCCTTCTCCTCCTCCTACTTCTCATCGTCCTCCCCCGGACGCCTGCTCCTCCTTCCTCGTCCTCCTCGTCCCCATCCGCCTCCTCCTCTTTCTCCACATCATCAGCATCAGCAGCATCATCACCACCACCATCATCATCATCGTCATCATCAGCATCATCATCTTCTTCAGCATCATCATCATCATCATCATCATCATCATCATCATCATCAGCATCATCATCATCAGCAGCATCATCGTCAACATCATCAGAATCATCATCTTCTTCTGCAGCATCATCATCGTCATCAACATCATCATCATCATCATCATCCTCATCATCATCATCATCATCATCATCATCATCATCATCAACATCAGCAACAGCATCATCATCATCATTCCCAGTCCCCCCCAGTCCCTGGGTTGAGAGCGAGATGTGCTGGAACTCTGAATGAGGCACGAGGGGGCTCTCCCGGCCACGGCGAGCACCGGCCACGAACAGGCTCCCGGGCCCAGCTCCAAAGCCCGCGCCCCTTCTGAGACCCATGGGGCCCCTGCTTCGGTGCCCTGGCGGGTGGCAGCGCACCGCCGGCCCCCCGAGGACCACTTCCGCGCCCTCCAGCCGCACGAGGGCTTCCCCGTCACGATGGTCGCCGCCACTGCCCCCAAGGCGCACTGGCGGCCGCCGGGCCCCTGCCCGCGCGGACTGGTGGACACGGTCGTCAACACGATCCTCGCGCCTCTGCTGGACTGGAAGGCGGCGCGGCGCACGGAGCTGCCGCCAGAGGGGGCAGGCCCTGGGGTCGAAGCAGGGTGCTCTGCAGAACCTCCCTTGCTCCGGACCTCCCCGCGTCTTGCCCTCCGATCCGACGGCGCGAGCAAGCCGCGACACCGCAGCAATCGCTGCTGGGGCCCCGGACCCCATCCTCCTCCTCCTCCTCCTCCTCCTCCTCCTCCTCCTCCTCCTCCTCCTCCTCCTCCTCCTCCTCCTCCTCCTCCTCCTCCTGCTGCCAGCTTCCGCCCCGATCCATCTGCGCTGGCCCTGCGGCCCGCGAGCGGGCGAGAGCGCCCTCTGTGAAGGAAGGTGTTGCAGCGCCTGGATCTCAGGGCACCCCCCTTTGCCCCCCATCGCCTGCCGCACCTCCTCCTCCTCCTCCGGCCCCGTCCCCCCTCGCACACCCTCGCCTCCTTCGGCCCTCTTCTCGCCTTCTCCTGCCCCCGTCGCCTGTCGCCTCCCCTCCTCGGGTCCCGCCCACCCCCCCCCCCCGCACACCCTCGGCTCCACCTTCCCCGTCCCTGCCCCCTCTGCACCAGGCGAGTGGCGCGGGAGGGGGGGGCCCATATTGCTTGGCCCTCGCCTCCTCCAGGGTCCACGTCGATCCGATCGATCCGGCTCGATGTCAGTCTTGGCCGCCCCGATCCCAGTCTTCCGACGGTCCGATGTGGCCCGGTGTGTGTGTGTGCATGGCGCTCTTGTGCATGTTGGCGCAGCCGGTGCGATTCGGTCCCGACGCCGTGCCGATGCGGCCCGATCCGACGAAGATGTCGATTCGATCCGGCTTCCCGATGCGACGCTGGCTGATCATGTGCCCTGGCCTCGTCCCCTCCCACGCCCTCGGCTCCCCTTGGCCCCACCCTTGCCTCCCCTGCGCCACTTGGCATCGCTTGGAAGTTTGATTTTCTTTCTGTGAGGACGATCGAGAAGCATACTGGATCATATTGGCAAATTGTAAAACACAACAACAACAACAACAACAACAACAACAACAACAACAACAACAACAACAACAACAACAACAGCAACAGCAACAACAACAACCACAACAGCAGCAACAGCAACAACAACAACAACAACAACAAATATCACCACCACCACAACAACAATCGTGTTAAGGATGTTCGCTCTGACCTGCTCGCGGGCCATTCAAAACGTATATCCCAAACCATCGATACCCGCCCTTGTCGTCTTCGATCGTACCCCCTGGGGGTCTATATCTTTCTTACCTGCAACGTCTATTTCGTGCAGCCCCTAAGGCAGGGGAAGAAAGGACGCATGGAAGGAAGGGACAAGTGGGAGGGAGGAAGATGGAGCATGAGAGGGAGTAGCGGGATGGGGGCCAAGAGTAGAAAATACGTGACAGAACCAGACGGGCAGACGGACGGGTAGACCCTAACCGGCGGGTTGGGAAGGCGGGCCCAGGCGGCCAGGTCGAGCAGGCGAGTAGTTGAGGCGTGCGTCTTGCATAAATCGCGAAGAAGTCTCGAGCGATCGATTCTCAAATAGATGTCCAGAAATTCACAGCGCGAGCGAAATTCCTGAGTGCCGAGGACGCGGCGTTTGACTAAATTGCGAGGAAGTCCCACGCGAGAGCGCGATTCCTGCATGCATTGTGAGGAAGCCCCGCGCGAGAGCGCGACTTGGGAATACATTGTGAGAAAGTATCAGGCGGGAGCCGTTCTCGTTGTAGTTCGGGGCCCAACAACGCAGCTTGGTGACCTTTCGCCTTCCCTTGAAACAAACAGGGTGCGAGCCCTGGGAAACTCACCTTGGTTGAAAAATACAATGGTTACAGGAGGGGGGGGAATCACCAACCATAAATTTCTAAAAATGAGAGCACAACCACTAAAAAACAAAAACACAAACAACAAGAACAACAGCAATTACAACAACAGCAACAACGGCAACAACAGCAACGACAACGACAACCACGACAACAACAACAACAACAACAACAACAACAACAACAACAACCACAACAACAACAGCAACAGCAACAATAACAACAACAATAATAACAGCAATAATAGCATTAACAACGGCAACAACAACAACAACATCAGCAACAGCCACAACAACAGCAGCAGTAACAACAACAGCAACAACAACAACAACAGCAACAACAAAAACAGCAACAGTATCAGCAACAGCAACAGCAACAGCAATAGCAACAACAGCAACAACAACAACAATCACACACAAAGCAAAACAAAAAAAAAACAGCAGCAGCAGCAGCAGCAACAGCAGCAATGCCGCGCGAAGCCGAAAGGTGCACGGGGAAGGGACGTCCGAGCGACGGCGAGGCCTGGCGCACGGCGTGGGCAAGAGACGGGGCCGACCACGCCGGGTGGAGGCCCAGAGCGCGCGAGCGCCCTGCGCCTCTCCGACGACGCGCGGTGTGCCGCGCTCGCGGCCTGCGTCGGCCAACCCGCTGGGGGTCCGCGCGGCAAGGGAGGGACGTGGACGACTCTCACGAGAACGAGGGGGAGGGGGAGGAGGGAGGGAGAGGGGGAGGGAGGGAGGGGGAGGGAGGGGGAGGAGGGAGGGGGGAGGAGGGGAGGGGAGGGGGAGGGAGGGGGAGGAGGGAGGAGGGAGGGAGGGGGAGAGAGGGGAAGGGAGGGAGGGGGAGGAGTGACGGCAGGAGGAGCGGGCCGGGATGGGGGGTGCTCGGCCGCCCGCCTCGCGGCCCGCGCCGGCCGTCTCGAGCGCGAGGCCTGCGCGCCATCTGCCGCCCCGCCGCTCGGGGGGCGGGCCAGGTGCCCCCTTCGCGCCGGCCCTCGCCCCGCGCGCGGTGCCCCGCGCCCGCGGCCTGCGCCGGCCTCCTCGGTCACGAGGCCAGCGCGCCCTCGGGCGCCCCAGGCATGCGATGCCTGGCGTTCTTCGCTGCGGGGCCCGCGGAAGTCCCGAGCCTCTTCCCACACGGGGCTCGAGAGGCGGGGGTCCATGCGAACGGGGGTCCGCCCGAGCGCCGGACCTTGCAGGATCGTGCAGAGCCAGGGGTGCTCTGGCCCGGGCGTGCGTGCAGGCTCCTGCAGGATCCTGCAAGGCCTGAATGGCCCGGGTTTGGATTGACCCGGCTCAGTAGATCCCCGGCACAGGGCCGGCTTCTCATCCCAGGTCGTTTCGTTGACGGTCCCGGGGCCCAGCGAGGGCCCCCAGAGTCCGAAGACGGCCACGAGCCTCTCCTGGCGTGGTTTTTTGCGCGACGCGAGCGTGCCCGGGCCCCCTCTTTCAGTCCGTCGCTCGGGGGGCGGCCGGGTGCCCCCGTTGGTTTTCAAGTGTCGTT